GGGGTCAGACTGATCCCCTGAACCTTGACCTGCTGAGGGGTAAGGGTAATCCCCAGGTCCTCTGCCTCCTCTGGGGTGATGGTGATCTGCTGTGCTTGGGCCAGCTGAGAGGTAAAAATGCTTGTCTGTGCTAGGGCCAGCTGAGGGGTGGTATCTATCCCCAGGGCCTGGGCCTGCTCAGGGGTGAGATTAATCCTTTGTGCCTGGGCCTGCTGAGGGGTGAGAGAGACTCCCAGGACCTGGGCCTGTTGAGGACTCAGACTGACCCTCTGTGCCTTGGTCTGCTCAGGGGTGAGAGTGAGCCCCAGGGCCTGGGCCTGCTCAGAGGTGAGTGTTATCCCCAGCCTCTGGGCTTGTGGAGGGGTCAGGCTGATCTCCTGTTCCTTGGTCTGCTCAGGAGTGAGAGTGAGCGCTAGGGCCTGGGCCTGTTGAGGGGTCAGACTGATTGTCTGGGCTTTGGCTTGCTCAGGGGTAAGAACGATGCCCAGGGCCTGGGCCTGCTGAGGGGTTAATGTGATCCTTGGTTCTTTGGCTGGCTCAGGGGTGGGGGCAATGCCTTGATCCAGGGCCTGCTTCAAGGTGAGAGTAATGTCTTTTCCTTGGATCTGCTGGAGAGGTAGAACTGCTCTTTGGGTCACTGTGACCCCAGATGTTGGCACTTGTTCAGCGGTTTGGATTTCCGATATGTAAGCCCCGGCTGGAGTCAGCGTCTGCTGAAGGATCCTAGGGGCCATCAGCTGAGTGCCCAGCTCTTGTTCCTGCTTGGCTGTGGGAGGAGGGATCTGCACTTCTTTCATGGGTTCGTGACTAGGAGGACCACCCCAAACCTGTTCCCGCTCAGGGATGAAAGATGCCCTTGAAATCTGAGATATCTTAGAATCCACTATCTGGGCCTGCTCAGGGGCGGGCACTGGGAGGGGCTTGGCAGAAACCAGGAGGGTCCTGGGGGAGAAGGGCTGCTTATCTTCCGGGCTCTCCATGGCTCTCGGATCCACTTGGAATAACTGTACTTGGCTCGTCTGAAGTTTCAGGCTTTTCATCCACCTGGGCGTTAAGACCATTGCGCTCTGGGTGAAGGTTTTGAATAGGTCTTTAGACTTTGAGTCACCCTTGGGCGGCAGCTTTGATTTGCTCCCTTTCGGCCTCGGGCCTTCTTCTGCATCTCTCACCCCCTTCGGCTTCTCCTTGTCCACGTCCTCCCTCTCCCTCAGGTCCTGAGCCCTGCTCATGTCGGGGGTCATGGCTGCCGCCGCCGCCGGTCTCCACTCTTCCTGCTCTGCTGCCTTCTCCCTGGCCCTGTGCTTTGGCTCGGCCTGTTTCGGAAGTCTTTGCTCTTCCTTCCAGGCCTCCTCTTCCCACCTCTGCCACTCTTGCCTCTTGTCCTTGTGGTCTTGGGCTGCTGCGGAGACGGTCACGCCGTCTTTCTCGCTGTCCAGTTCATCTAAGATGGTTTGTGTTAGCGCCCTGACCACTGGGTCTGTCATCTCGCTTAAGAGGAAGCTGACGAGGTCGGACTTGGCACTGATGAAGCCCTGCCCAGCAAATGGCTGCGGTAAAGCAGGAGTCGCCTTTTGTGGTTTGCTCAGTTTCTCTCTCAGCTGTTTTTTTCTTGACTCTTTGTACGCCCTCAAGGTTCTAGTCACGGTTTCAGCCACTTTTTGGACATATTCTTCTGTTTTTGCCTTTATGAGATATAATTTTTCAACTTCTGCTCTTTCTAGTGATTTCTCCTCCTCCTGTATACTCTTTGGATCAAAAGCCTTTCCTACATTATTCGTTTTCTCTCGTAGGAAAGCCAATATGGCTTTTTGAAATGATTCTAGGGTATTTTGTTCACTTCTGGCATCAGGAGTTGCTGGAGTCTGCTTAGGCGTCTTGGATTGTAATTTACTTTGTTGCTGTTTTGTGGTGCCTGGCATTTCTTCAGTTTTTCCTGGTAAGGGTTTTTTCCCCTTGGTTTCTATTTTGGGTGGCTCTGGGGTACTCTCAGGCTGGCTTGCCTTGGTTTGTTCTGCTTCAGTCTTGGATTCTTTGTCCATTGGCTTAACGGGGGGTACCATTTTAACCTCTGATGAAGCTGGGCTTTTCCCAAGTGAGTGCTCCGACCTGCCCTTCTTGAATCGTTCCCACAGGCTACTCGCTCCACTTTTGACCTCCTGGCCCTGTGGTTTGCCTTCTAAAAAGGATTTCCCATCTTTTCTCTTCATGTCCAGGGCTTGTAGATCAGAGAACTGACTAGATGCTATCTCCATGACTTTCTTTTCCTCCTTCTCCAGGTTTGCGTCCGAGGTCTCGGCTGGCAGTGGGACTGGGGGATGCTGCTTTTTCTGATCCTGGTCGGCCTTATCTTCAGCTTGCTGCTTAGCCACATCTACAGCCATTTCACCTTGGGCGACATATGTCATACTCGAGTCCCACTTTATTGCGGTGGCTCTGACACCCTTCGTTTGGGACTCATCTATAATCTTTTCGAGCTCTTTGTTTAAGAGACTGTCAATCTCCCCTGAATCGACCTCTTTGCTCACAGATGCCTGTGGAGACCCTAGAACTAACATTCTCAAGCTCGGCGTAGTTGGGACCAATAGCTGGCGTCCTAGAAAATTTTTTATTCGAATAAGCTGGTCACACTTTTCTTCAGAATCTCTAAGTTTCTGGTGAAGCATTTCGTTTTCTTTACTGAGATCTTGGATGACTCTCTTCAAGAAGTCTTTTTCTGTCTCTCTCTCTTCATTCACACCCACGCTGGTAGCTTGAAGGGTCATGAGTTTCAGCTCGTCACTGACCATACTCAAGGCTTTGGAAAGGTTCAGAATAGTTGCTGATATGTATTTAATGGCATTGTTTTCCAGTTTGCTTAACATGGCTGAGCTGATGAGTTCCTGGAGCATGTCTTGAATTTCGGAAACCTTGGTACTTAATGCGAGTTGGTCGCAGATCATCTGGTCTGGCCTTAAAGCGTGGGCCGCGGCAGGCCGCTTTACAACTCGCTCCTTCCAAGCTTTCCAGAGAGTGCCTCTAGTCACTAGGAAGAAAAACACAAAACAATGGACTTGCGTTTCTTCCTTTAGGTTGTGCTGTGCCCATGCTTAAGCCTAAGGAACTTAGGATATAGGATAAACATTCATCAGAAAAGTTGAAATAATATTGGACTTTACAGTCAGCAGCCAAAGGTGAGGTATCCACGGTCTCACTTTAGCACAGAAAATGGCCAACTTAACACTTGAGAGAGAAGAGACAAACCTCCATCACAGCAATGGAAAACAATAGGTAGAGGCTCCTCTCTACAAGAACAATGGAAAACAATAGGTAGATGCTCCTC